GTTCGGGATCTCTTCGATTTTCTCAAAAATCGAACGAGACCTCGAAAGTCGTGTAAGTCGGTGGATATTGGAACAATGTCGAGTCCTTGGTCTTATGAAAAGGCCTCGGACGATAAATTGTGTGTTGTGATTTAATTGTCAAGTTGTCGTGCTTGTTAATCGCTGTTTTGATGTTCGAATTTTTAAAAATAGCTCGCTGCTCGAAACGATGTGAAATTTTGACCGGATGTGTTATCTGTTCATTTCCTGCCTTGTGTAATATTTTCATAATTTTTGGAGACCTGTAGCTATTTTTAATAATTAAATTGTGTTCTGTCCAGAATATTGTTAAATGCATAATAAATTCATGCTTGACTGAAAGAAGCTGAAATTCGAATATGTCATGCCTATGTGACTTATATGTGTTGTGTTAAATTTTTAGAATTTTTGGAGTTGATTTGATATGGGTAATATTTTATTTATTGAATCTGCAGAATTGTTGTTTGAATTTTTAAACATCGCTTACTGCAGGGAAAATTCTGAAATTTTACTGAGAGTCATATTTTAGGTGTGTGATCATGTTTGTAAAATATGGGAATTTTTACAGTCCGTTTGGGTTCATATTGGATTTAAATTCTATAAACTGCTGTTGCTCGTTTTAATTTTTGAAAATAGCAGCAGTTATCATTTAAGGCTGAAATTTTTATAAGTTGGCTTTGGCATACTGTATGTTGCTGTGTAAACTTTTCAGGTTCAGTTTCATTCATTAAGTCTGAGTATGAATTAATGTGCCCTTTTTGCTGAATTACTATTCGAATTTTATAAAATAGGGTATTTTGAGTTTAAAGCTGAAACTTTGTGATTTTACATGTTTCTGGGAGATAAAATTTTGTATAAATTTTCAGAGCTTAATTCGTAGGGTAGCTTGACCTTCTATTTTCATGCGATTAAATGATTTCAATTTTCGAGCATAATTGTATATGGAAAATTTGGATCGACTTGCTTTTTGGTTTTATGTGAGTTTGACTTGGTAAAACCTTAGATGGATTTGTGTGAACTCCCTTATGTGGTTTGGTCGAGTTTAGAGCCGAGTCTTAGTGTTCCAACATCCACAGGACTTCACGAACTACTTAGTCGAAACGTGTTCGACTAGGTCTGTCTTGTGATTTTCGATTTAAGTCAAGATAGATTCTGATTGTAGGATCTTGACATCATGTAGGTGTCTAGAGGTGTTGATCTTGCCTTATTTCGAGATTTGTGACTGTGAACCGTGCTGCTATCAGGTGGGTACATTTATGATGTATTCCATAATTATCGCACTTCCTTATTTCGTGTAATATTTCTTTGAAAAGTTTTGTATGCATGAGAACTCTAGTCTAAGTGTCCCGAACGATAGTGCCTTGATGAATGCGAAAGCAGTGGAAGTCGCCTGCCCGTTGTATCCGGGAGGTGGACGCCCGAATCCGTGGAGAGCGAAGGGGATTGTCTGATTTACTCGAATCCGTGTAGAGCGGAGGGGTAATTCAACTTCACTGTCTCCTGGAAAGGATCCCATGGACCGTCGTATCCGGGGGTGGGAAGGTTTCCAGTTATAGCCATGCCGTCGTATCCGGAAGGTTGTTGTATGTACATAGGAGGTTTGCGATAGGGCCGGGTAGGGGGTTTAGGCTATGAATTCTATGCATACGGATATTGATATTGGTTTATTATGAAACTGCTTTCTAAATAATTATACGAGATAACCGTGCGATAATGGTGAGCTAGTTGGTTGCTCACCCCCATTATTTTCTTTGTTGTTTTCTCTCTTCCTTTGTTTTAGGTTGAGACGAGCTGGAGGCGGTGGCGTAGGACGAGCGAGATGGTGGTCACTGTTTGATGATATATTATGCTTCCGCCTGTTTATGATTTGTTGAACTGAATCTTGACTTGAATTATTTTCCCGCTTGGATTTGGATATTTTATTATGTGTTTATATCCCTGCTTGATTTCGTATACTGATGATGTGTTGTGCAAGAACTTGTTACTTAATCATTTGCTTTCATACTTTGGATTATTTATTTATTTGCCTTCGAACTATGTTTGAGTTTCGTTTGAACCTTCTTTAATGCTAGACGTTTGGAAATGATTTTGAGATTTATGTTTTATGAGACTGTTTATTTGATAGCTCAAGCATGTGTAGGTTCTTTGGATTGATTGATTGGATGTGTTCATTTGCTGTGGTTAATAAGTAGCGCCCGTTTCTCGATAAATGTTTTAATTTGGATTTAAAAAAAAAAAATAACTCTGATTTTTATCAAATAAATTCGGTAAATTCTTTAAAATAAAACGGGGCGTTACAGAGAATCTCTTCTTTGACGAGGGTTGAGTAGCGGCATTCCTCTTCGTTTCGCTCCAACAGAGTGACAAGTCGCGCAGCCAAGGATGGAGTGAGCGCCGAGCTGTGACTGTGGACTGAAAACGCAAATTATGACCTGTTAGCACAAAAGAAAGAAAATCAGTTGGTGATGGATGCGAAGACAAAAACTTACGAGTATAGGAAATAAAATGAGTAGGCGGGTGCCGAGTAGCGTCTGGAGTCATCCACTCGCCGCTGACCCAAAACCAATTCGGCAGGTAGCCATGCAGGGTCTCGGGCAGTTTGGCCACCAGCGTTTTGTCGATGCCGGGAAGCACCGAGCTGTAGTAATTGCCGGTGTCACCGGAACGTTTGAAGGCGAACAGAGACTTCACCTCGTCGCCGGTGGGGTCGGCCCAACCCTCGCGGAGATACATGACAATTAAGCTCACGAGGCGGGCAAATACTGTCGGCACATATTGGCTGATGCCGACCTCGAGCTCGCTCAAGATGTCGTTGAGCGCGCTGGGCAGAGGGAATCGGAGGCCCAGGTGGATGCTGTGTCGGTAGACCCCTATACAGCCCGGCTGCGGACAATGGATCCGATCTCCGGGATACGGCGCGAATAGTTGGACTCCAGGGCCGAAGTTATACTTCCCCCTCAGCTGGGCCAGGTCGGCGTCGTCCAAGACCAACGCCGTATTCCAAGCCGTCACATGGCTCGGCGTTGCCCACACCCGCGCGGGTCGGCGCTAGAACCCAGGGAGGAGAACCGTCACCTCCTCGAGGGCGGCATCGGTGGCGGCGTTTCCCATTGGCACACGCTCCCGGCCTTCGACGTTGCCGCGGAGGGCCTCGTCTACCAAATCCGGATCCACATCAGAGTCGGTGTCCAGAAAACCGAGGTCGACGGAATCATCGTCAGCCGCGGCCGAGGGGTTCAGATCCATTTCGGCACCATCACGCAGCGGCGACGGGAGGCCCTGAAAGTCGTCACCCCCGCCGCCGGAGGCCATCTCGACCGTCGAGAAGTCCGGACGGACGACGGAAATAGGGACGACGGTGAGGATAACGTCCGCCGACGCGGCGGGGGCACCGTCACCCGCGGGTTTAGGAGAAGACATCGTGACAGAAAAACGAGAAAAAGCAAAAAGAAGCCGAGCAAAATTACCGGAAAAGTAGCCGTAGACGGTTGCCGGAAATTCCTTGGGATAAGCTCAAAGTTCGCCTCGAAAATCGCAAGGCTCAGAAATGTTCGATAGTTCAAATGTTTTGAAGGTAGGAAAAGTGAAAGAATTTCTGAAAAGGGATATATATAAGATCGCCCAACCAATCAGACGCGGACACGTGTACAGATCTTTTGAAATTCGAAATTTAAAGCAAAAGTAGCCGAAACGTCCTGAACAAGCCAACCGTCATTTCTTATAGTCAACCGTTACGCCCTTTCGAAACACTTGGTTCTTAATCTGCCACGTGCCCCCCTGTGTGAACACAGTTAACACACGTCTTCGACTACCGACCGTTACGTCCCACGTCTTTGGTTACCAACCGTTACGTCCCACGTCTTCGTTTACCAACTGCTACGCCTCAAAGTGTGGTGAAGATGCTGACCTCAAAAAAGGGTCGGATACGAACTCGATGGGCCCAGCTCGGATCCAACCGATCAAAGACGACCTCAGGAGAGACCCGATGGACCTCACCTGAGCTCGGGGGCCTGTATGTTAATATCCGAGTCCGGCCCCAACAGAGGTACCGGTCCGACAAATTGAGGACCGAACAGTGGCTGGCCGAGCCGAAGGGGCCGGTACCCAAAACCGATCGAGGGTGCCGAGCTGAACAAACATCAAAGCCATCGGGAATGATGGGAGGAACCGGTCCCGAGATCGGCACCAAACCCATGCAGCTGTGAGGTCGACACCCTATTCGAGATCTCATAAGGGCGGCCTCTAATAGGAATACGGTGTCAAACACAATAAAATAAGGCCACTTGTCGACAAATGATTGCCGATGGGACATCCAACTCAGTCAAAATGTGTTCGCATTTAATGCAGCCCACGTTCGCATTAAATGCATAGCAGGTAATGATTGGGAAATCCGGAAATCACTCCCAATCAGTCAGAGAAGCGTCGGCTTGTCCCGCCAAACTACTGTACGACAAGACGGATGAACAGTACCCGAACAGTACCGCATTAAAGACCCCTATAAATAACAACCCCCTCATTTATTTTTAGGTTGCTGAATCTCAACTACTTGTACTCCATATTTTCTCTCTCTAAGGCTTGTAAGAAACTCTTGTAAGTATTATAAGTATATCGCAAGTGCCGACCTCGTACGAGAGGCCGACCTCGTGATCCGTTAAATAAAACCGTGATTAAACCGTATTTCTTTGTCTTTCCCTTATTTTTCTTTCCATTACTCGACTTTTTAACCGTTGACCGATGTGATTAAACCGTATTTCTTTGTCTTTCCCTTATTTTTCTTTCCATTACTCGACTTTTTAACCGTTGACCGGAAATGTCCGTCAACAACAGTGAATAGTGAATTAAAATTAATCTGAAGCCGGAAAATGATTGATTGATATTATTTAATTATATTCCTAATTAATAATGAAGTTAAATTAAATTTGAATAAGATTTTAAGTTAAAAACGTTTAAAAAATGACAAAACCGGTTTTAATCTGAAACAAATAACACCGTAAATATCTACTTCTCGCCTCAATCAGGGTATGGGCGATCTCGACAAGAGGATAACGATTGTATCGGGACTTGCAGAAGATAAACAGATAGACAATTATTACACCCTCCGCCGAAACTCTCTCTCTGGATTGCATTAATCCTTAATGTTAATTCCATATACACTAAACTACTAGATTATACTATAAATAGCATTCCGCATAAATGGCGTCTTCGGCACCTTCATTTCAATTTCACTCTCTTCCGTTTCTTGGCCGTCGGAGCACGAATACCAACAACAACAATCCCACGCCTTGTTCATCCTCAAATTCTTCTTGTTCGCCTTCGCCATATTCTTCCTATCCTAACTATTCTCCTTATAATCGCCGAAGGCATCCCTGGAATTTCGTCACCTTTTCCGGTAAAATATTAAGGCTACTCTAGTATCTCTTGTATTTTGTCTCTAGTATCTCTTTTATTTCAATTCTGTATCTGTGTGTGCATCTGTTCTATTTTTCTTTTGGCGATTTGGGAGATTACTTGTTGTGTTATTTCATATCATTCTGGANGATGATGAGAATACCATCTTGTGTTTGGTTGTGGGAACAGATTTAATATTGTGCCAACACGTCGATCAGTGAAATTGGGAACAGAAAAGGATGCAACAATAAAAGAGGATTTTCATATTTGATTTTAAAGATTGTCAATGATTTGGGAATTTGTTTACAGATAAATGGATGTGATAACTGATATGTGTTTGCTTGTTTTTGGTTACTTTCTTTGGCCTTTTCCTGTGGTCCAGTCCTTGCTCATCTCCAATTATTTCTGCTCAGGTACTCTGCCACTAAGAAAACTAACCAAAAACAAGCAAATACATATACCAGTCTTTTGTAGAAGTAGACAAATTCCCAATCCTTGCTCATTTTTGGTTTTACTTGATCCTGTCCTTTAACCAATACTATTTAAAGTCAGCTTTAGCATTTTCTAGTTAATCCTTAAAAGGTTTAGCTTGTAAAGAATATCTATTTGGTACTTGTAGGCTTAGTGAGTGTTTGGAAACATAAAAGTGGTAGAGCTCTAGCCATGAGTACATCCAAGGGAAACCTTTCTTCACCAACGGACATCTCCAAACAGGAGGATGAACCTGATCACCTTCTTGTTCTTGTTCACGGCATCCTCGCAAGGTGTAATTTCTAATTTAGGTTATTCATAAGAAATTATGGGTGCTTTAGTCATAAGGCTCAAGGTATATTCATGTTGTCTATTTTAACCTTGATTGAAGTTGCCTAGTATTGCAGCCCCAAGGATTGGTTATATTTTGAAGCGGCGTTGAAGAGACGATTAGGGAAGAAATTTTTGATTTACGGTATATTATTTAATAGACAAAATATATTCATGAACTGAAGTCGCACAATCTTCGATTTTATCCTTTACTTTGTTTCCGTAACATTTGAGGCTTGAGGAGTATATAAGAATTCGCTTATATATCTGCAGCGAGTTCAAGTAATACATTCACTAAGACATTCAAGGGAATTGATGGTTCTGGACAACGACTGGCTGATGAAGTAAGTATAGGATCAAATTTGAGGTATCTTATGCAGTAGCTGGTTTAAACCATATTTTGACATTCTGTTTTAATGTGTTGGTTTTTATCCTTCCTAGTTCAAATAGTTAATCAATAAAGTTAGTTGTGAAGTTGGGTTAACAAGGCTCTTAAGTTTGAATAAACAATTGTGTCGTACGAACAAAATGAATAATGTTGTTGTTGGGTTCGGTGAAGAACGTCGATGGTTGTGCAACAAATCAAATATCTTAGAACTGAATCCTAAACGCAACAGATCTAAAGTTAGGATTCCAATCTTACGGTTTAAACTTCGTCGACTCTGAGGCGACTTATACAGTCTATGGGATCGGACGAATAGGTAATCAATAAAGTTAGTTGTGAAATTGGGTTAACAAGGCCTTTAAATTTGAATACACAATTGTGTAGTACGGACAAAATGAATAATGTTATTTGTTGTGTTCGGTGAAGAACGCCGATGGTTGTGCAACAAATCAAATATCTGAGAACTGAATACTTGGGCTGTTGAGCACCTTATTTCTTGTGCCCTTAATAATAAATAAGTCCAATAAATATTTATTATTGCACTTTCTTTTCCTAAACCCAATTATATGGGCTCCACTATCCTCGATTTATCTCCCCGTGTCAAAGATATAACATTCGTTAATTAATTTAATTACTGACTATTTAAATATACTTACAATTTAATTAACTTCTTGACATGTCGAGACTAGTACCATTCAATTTGTATTATGTCGGAGCTAAATCCACTTGTAGGCTTAACATAAATTACTTTGGCAATGACTTTGATGTGTTTTTTTTCAGTAAAAAACTAATTTTGATATATTCACTTGTATATAGTTTTATAACTTGAAAGAGAAATGTAATTAGTCTTTATAGGAAAGGATTCAATGATGCATTTTGAAGTATTTAATTATGCATATTGATATAATTTATGCCTTGAATTATACTTAAATTTTACAATGCATTTCAATGTTCTGGAGGCGGACTAGGGCCTAGCCTAGGTGGGGATTAGACGCGCCTACACGGGATCGTAAAATATTAATAAATTTATTAATATTATTATCACCATACATTATTCGTAAGATGCAATATGTAAAAGATACTAATTACGGTTAAATATAAGGATTTTCTAAATTGCTTATTAATATTGTATTAATATTAACATGATTATTTTTTTTTTTTTTTTTGAAGTTTATATAATTATTTATATATGTTCCACGTATAAATATTAAAACATACTTTTATTATATTTGAAGATAAATTAAAAACAATGTAGAAAAATAATATGTAATCACCTAGACGGCACCTAAAACCAGTTTAGGCTTGACTAACTTTGCAGCAACCTAGCTGCTAGGCAATGTCTAATTGCTCCAGCGCCTAGAAGGGCCATGCCGACAAAATTCAGAGCTCTCAGGTGCCGTCTAGTGCCTAGTCAATTTTAGAACACCGATATATTTATATTAAAATTGTTTTCACTATTGTCCCTTTGTTGAAGGTGGTCTTTTTACAAACATAAAATTTTGTAATGAACAGGTTATGGAGGTTGTGAAGAAAACAGAGGGCCTAAAGAAGATATCTTTTTTGTCCCATTCGCTCGGTGGTTTATTTGCAAGATATGCTATTGCTGTTTTGTACACTCCTCATGCTATCTCTCATCAGTCTGATGATCTTACTCGTCCGACTCCTGAAAAAATAGAAAACTTGAATTTTTTGAATAAAGGTTTTGTTGCTGGTTTGGAAGCAATTAATTTCATTACTTTGGCCACACCTCATCTTGGAGTGAGAGGAAATAAACAGGTATGTATGTTGCTCATGAGTATCAATAGCATTCATGTTTCAGTCAAGTATTTTCTCCCTATAGTAACCAATGGTTTCTTTTAATCTTTTAATTGTACATATGATATTGTCTGACTAGATGGAACTATCGATTTTCTTTGAATTGCGTAATTTGATCCATACTGTTTCTGCTTCGATAAGAATTCCCGTCTCTGTTATCAAGGTAATTGTGGTCCAGTTGATGGACCAAGTTCTACTTTCACATCAGGTAGCGTTTAACCAAAAAAAATGAAAAGAGTGAAATAAAATGAATCACTTTGGTAGGAACTACAGTTGTTGGGAACAAGAAGTTGGAAAATTATGCAATGTGCGGAGAAGCTAAATGATAAATTAGCCGACAGAGAATGTGTGTGGTGAATAAGTTGTAAAATACTTATTTATTTATTTATTAAACTAGTAGAATTAGAAATGTAAATTACTCTCTTCATTTTATCTTGGACCTGAGTTCCAGAGATTTCATTTTGGTTTTAATTGTTATGGTTTAAACTCTGAACTCCAGACATTTAATGTTTCTTCAATAATCCAGCTTCCCTTTCTTCTTGGTGTGCCTTTGCTGGAGAAACTGGCGGCCCCTCTTGCCCCGATTTTTACTGGTCGAACGGGCAGACAACTCTTCCTTACTGATGGCAAGTCCAACAGACCACCTCTCTTATTGAGAATGACTTGTGATTGTGCAGATGGGAAATTTATGTGAGCATATTTAGTCTCTAAATCTGTATATTCTTTTAGTCCAGACTCCGGAGATAATTACAAAAGGAAACCCCAAGGTTTGAGGTACTTACAAAAAGGCGGTGGAGAAATTTCACAATTTCAATAAAGCCCTTAAATGTGTTGACGAGTTTAGACTCAAATGTATATTTTGTGAAGTGGCAAAAACCTCAAACAAGGGTAGTTTGGGTAATTATACCTTTAATCGATTTGTATATTGGCATTAAACTTACTGTGGTGGATTATGTACAGATCATCACTTGGCGCTTTCAGATGTCGTGTTCTTTATGCTAACGTCTCATATGACCGTATCCTCATCATCTAAGAGATATTTTTGCCAATACTGGAATTTGTTGTGTAATTTGCATTTTAGCGTCGAAATTCTTTAACGACTATAGATATGGTTGGTTGGCGAACATCGTCCATACGAAGAGAAAAAGAACTCTGTAAGGTAAATGAAGGGGTAATTAAGTTTCCTTTTGTGGAATGCCATTTTAGTTTAAAAGGGAAAAGAAATGGAGGATTGCTCCTTTTGACAACTCTTGTGTGACCTTTTTTTTTTTAAACTGGCAGCCTCCAAGTAGGTCCTTGGATGGGTACAAGCATGTTGTCGATGTGAACTATTGCCCGCCTGTTTTGTCTGAGGGTCCCGATTTCCCTCCAGAAGCTGCGAGAGCAAAGGAGGCCGCGCAAAAGAAACCTAGCATACAGAATACAGTGGAGTACCATGAGATTATGGAGGGTAAAATTGTCAAATGTGTTGTTTTTGATAACTCATCATGTAATTATTAAAAGGCTATAACTCTTCTCTCTATTTTTCTCTCTCAGAGCAAATGATACGAGGCTTACAACAAGTAGGTTGGATGAAAGTCGATGTGAGTTTCCATTCGGCATTCTGGCCCTTCTTTGCGCACAACAATATCCACGTAAGTTTTTGTATTTGTTTGTTTATTTGTTTTGGTTGCAAATTTTTATCTGTTCTGATTATGATCTTACACTATTTCAGGTGAAAAATGAATGGTTTCATAATGCGGGAGTAGGAGTGGTTGCTCATGTTGCCGATACCATAAGACAACAGGAAGAAAAGCTGCAAAATCCATCTTCCTCCTATATTGCTGCTAGTTTGTAATACTATTCTATTTCTTTCTAAATTTCATTTCATTTTCGGAATTTAACAGGTATTTTCAACTTGGTCCCCTACATATATGATTTTCGTTTTAAGAATTAAAATTTGATTAATACATCCACTGTTTATTATATACGTGCACTAGTACTATTTGTTAAGAATGGATGATATCCATCCCATGCTTAGGTTATGCCAAATCGTAAATTTTTCTGATAAAATTCAAGTGCCAAATCAGTACGCACAGCTTGAAAACAATTCCAGTGGATTTCTTCATCACCATTGGGTTTGCATTGTGTACAATCTCAGGTACCAAATCAGCAAACCGGGAGTACTACAAAATTGGCAACCTATGTATTTTTATACGCGGATATAGCTTTTTTCACTTCCACTTTGAAGACGAACTATGTTTTTTATAGTGCCAATTAATAAGCACAATGAATTAATAAGTTAACCTTTTCACCCTACTAGGTATGAAATAAATTATGCGATAGATTATACGACAGAGAAAAACAAAAAAATTGATAAAGTGCGAAATATTTATGTAATATATTGTGCGATAGGCATGTGAAGTTAATTGATAAAGTGCGTAATAGTTATAAGATAAGAATGTGATATAATTGAGTAAGTGCCAATTACTTATGCGATAAATTATGCAACAGACAGTCGAAGATAATTGATGAAATGAAGAATATTTATGTTATAAATTATGCGACAGATAGATGAAGCTAATTGATAAAATGTGTAATACTTATGAGATAAGTATCCGACAACAGAGAGACGAAGTTAATTGAGTAAGTTTGAATTACTTATGATACTATGTGTCAGACAAACGATGTTAATTGATAAAGTGTGATGCGACGACAGAGAGGCAGAGTTAATTGAACAAGCGTAAATTACTTATGCGACATACACATGAAGTTAATTGATAAAATGCGAAATAATTGTGCGATAAGTATGCGGCAAATAGATGAAGTTAGTTGAGCAAGTGTGAAATACTTACATGATAGATAGGCGAAGATAATCGAGTAAGTGCGATCTCATTAAGCAATAAAATATGTGACAGATAGGCGAAGATAATCAAGTAAGTGCGATCTCATTAAGCAATAAAATATGTGACAGATAGGAGAAATTAATTGAGCAAGTACGAAATAAATATGCGATAAATTATACGACAGACAAACGAAGATAATCAAGTAAGTGTGATCTCATTATGAGATAAAATATGCGATAGACATTCAAAGTTAATTGAGAAAGTGAATATGCGATAAATTATGTGACATACAAACGAAGATAATTGAAAAATGTGAAATAATTATACGATAAACTATGCGACAGAAAGACAAAGATAGTTGCGCAGGTGTGATCTCATAAAATATGCGACAAATAGGAGAAGTTAATTGAGGAAGTGCGTAAAAATTATGCATAAACTACGTGGCATATAAGCGACAAATATGCAGAGAAATATGTGAATAGTTCGGTCAATCGTGGATCTGTTGCATTTTAGTCGCAGATCAACTTCTTACACCTATATTATACATTTCCTATACATTTCCAGTTTTATTCAATTATCAACTTTTTGTGTAAGCCCTAGAAAGGTCGTCCTTTCGAGAACGCTGTACAAGAACCACGTGAAGGAAGTTTTCAACATCTTGAATCCCCAAAGTTTCTAAGAATGGAAATCCCCAAAGCAATGAAGCGACGATCGTGAGTCGGGCCGAGATCAAAAACTGGAGGAACCTGATGAAAAAAAGAGAGGGATGACGGCTTGTATGAATTGATCGTGCTTATGCTGATCAAAGACGAGAACCATGAAATTAGTATATGAACTTGCGATCGGGGTGCGGAGGTAACTATCTTAACTATGAAAAATACAAAATACATTAACTTTTTTTTGTTATACATAGTGGTAGGCATGTGAATGAATTATTTTGGACTTTATTCATGTAGTATTTATACTGATACGTGACATTTCAAGTTGTCTCATAATTATTTATGTAGTATTTGTAGTATTCATGCAGAACGACTGTTCGAATGACAGTTTCGTGACGATTATGTGAGTCATTATGAGATTGTTTTCCGACGAAAATGTAGTACATTTAATATTATTAGTGAAAAATGGCGACTGTTATCTTCAGAAATTTGATTCTTATACGATTGTTTTAAAATGGTAAATTCAAATTCTGCGATTAAACTGCGAAGGATATAAGCTACAACAGACTAGCAAAATGATATGAAGAGTTGTTCTACGATTATTACTTGTCACGCATATTATTACTCGACATTTGTTGTCACATATATTGGTCGACAACTATTATTTAACAAAAAAAAAAAGGTAAAAGCGTTTTAGATACTTTATGACAGACTGCCAAAGTGATAGAAATAGTGAATTGCAAAATCATTATATTCACCTTTTCTTTTATTAAAAATTAAAAATTTGTCGGAACTATCATCCACTGAACCATTATTTTTTTTATTGAAATAGTCGATTATTAGGCAAAACTTCAAATGTTGGCGTTCATAAACGTAACATTTCAAGCCTCATAATCATTAAGTTATAGTCATGCAGAAATAACTATTCGAACAAAATTATATTTATTTATTTATTAAATATTATTATATTTATTTATTTGTTGAAAATGTGTCGGATCTGTGATCCGCAGAATCATTATTTATATTTTTTTTACTAAAATATGCAATTATTAGGAAAAACCTTATGCATAATTAATCGCAGTAATTTATTAAATAACGCGGTACATCGCAGGTCAACTGCATTGTATTCACAGACCCTTTTGTGAAAAACATTTATTATTGATTTATACCTAAAATTTCCATGGACACCGGACTGACCCATCAAGACCACACCGGATGAGTATTGAGCATACAAAACCGAGCACAAGTGGCCCAAGAAGCAGCACTGGCAAAATCTGTCAATCTCCCCGATCGGCAGACAATCCCTTATGCCGATCTCACCCTGAATCTTCTCTAAGAAGATTGAAGACGTCTCTGTCATATGGATACATAACCGTTAAAGCTGATAAAGTCACTGCCCAAGCCGTCTCATCCTCAAAAGTCAAACTTTTTGAATTGATACACGTGACACCACCCTACGCCCCATGCTCGCACGATGTATTTATTGTACTTTTACCTTTTTTTTTTTGTCTATAAATAAGGCCACCCGTGCCCCTCGAAAAACAAAGAACGAAACAAACGACGATACACAACCATATGTAGCAAAAGCACACGATCAAACACTGCAATACTAAAAAATAGCATACCTGGAAAGCCAAAATTGGCATGCATACCTCTCATATCATAATACAATTCTTGAGAATTCACTCTGTTTGCCGATCTCCCAGTGGGTCGACGAAATATGTATCCTTTTGTTTTCCGCATATTTTTCATTTTTCCAACATTTGGTGTTGATCTTTTCATGTCTTTATTATTTTTTCATAATCAATCATAACTCATCGACCAGTAAGCCTTGATTTAACCGCCTGTTTAATGCAAATTTGTAATCGTTGGCAGTCGATCGTCAACAAAATGGCGCTAGAAGGAGGGCAACCATCATGGGTTACCTCTGGACCTACCCCTATAAAATGTCATCTCCGGTTAAGGTTTTTTCTCAACCCTAGTACTTCTTCTCGTTTTTGTTATATTCATAAATTACCTCATGATCAATCAAAAGAAATGGTGGCTCAGCCGACCCCTCCGCATCTGTTCATCCCTTTACTCTGCCCAAATGAAAACTTCCTCAAAGGTTCTTAAATATTACTTTTTTTTTCCTCTTCTCACCACAAAAAATCATATATACAATTCCTTGTCAAAACTTATATTAGCCCACCTTCGACAAGTATACGGATCGATTAACTCACCCTCGACAAGAACGTTAGGGTGTAGCACTCTTCGATCCTAGAGTAAAGACAACTTCCTAAATAGCCAAGGCCTTGAGGACAGATTATACAATAATATCCCATACGATACACTCCCAGATCTTGTCCTTAGTTCTTGAAATCAATCAATTCGGCGATCGTCCTATAATTGACGGGCGGTCACTAATTTTCTTTTGATCATTACTGCCTGACTGGTCGATCGCCAAATCGAGTTGTCACTACATACCTGGGGGCCATCCCAAGTCACATCTCGTGGAGTAATCTCCTGTTGGGATCTGTGAGGATCTCGTTATGTACAAATCACGAATTCAATAGCAAACGTAAACCTATGCGCAGCGGATCTAAAGGTTTGACGTAGAGAACTTACGGCTTAAAATTTATGTAGATCTGGCTGAGCACGAACGGTTGACCGCAATTGATTAACCGCAAATCACGTCTTGGGTTGCACGAACAAGATCAGATCAAAACCGGATCAAACGGATGCAAACAGATCAAAACGAGATTTTGCTGCCAGGCACCTTCCGGCGGCGCGTGAGGGCTCGTGCGGCGTCTGATTCCGGCGACGTCGGCGGCGATGGAAAGCTCTCGCCGAGACGGTCGTCTGGGTATACTATACGTCTCAATCGGACTTCCGGTTAGTTCTGTAGGTCAAAATATATTTCGTCTCGGTTTACCTACAGATCTTCTACTGTATTACTCAATACACCCTTCTTCAACTTGTACCAGTGGAGCAACAAGAAGAAGATAAAGCTTGAATGAGATCTAGAGAGAGAGGCGTGTTTCACGTGAGAATCAGACTTCTTTTTTTCTTCTCATGAGCTTAATGATGTATATATAGAGCTACAGTAGGGATCCTAAGGAGATTAGGAAAAGGGCTCCTTAATTAATTAGACTAACTGTGGGCCAAACCCACTCCTCTAATTAATTAAATAATATTAATGGGCCACCAACATTATATTATTGCACTCCCTTTCCCTAGCCCAAATTACATTTGAGACTCCAATAATAATTACTCGATTTACCTCCCCACGTTTAAGATATAATGTCCATTAATTAATTCGATTACTGACAATCAAGAATTAATTAATTTATTATTATTTCACCGAAGCTAGCGCTCGTTCATCACATTCTTATTATGCCGGAATTTAATCCACCTGCAGGGTTTAGCATAACAATCCTTCATAAACACACTCCGGGGACATCATCAAACTAACGCACATGGTGACCGTAAATATCCTAACAGCACATCCTATATATAATAATATTACCCAAAACAGTAGGAATATTAATCCAGCGAACTGAACCTCACCCATGTGAATCAAAGTAATATATATTATATATATCTGCCTGTTTAATATCTTACGGGTTAAGAG